ACAACAATCACATGAGTAGCATGCCACAAAAATTTCACATTTATTTGAGCATAACAACTGTAGTTATGAAAAAGACAAGTAAGACTAGCATTCAAACCCTAACCTGCATAAATCTATTTTTACGGCAGAAACTTTAAACTCAAGCATGTCATATTATAGATCTAATGCATAGATAATTTCACAAGGATTACAAAAAGTCCTAATTTACTATTTTACGATTTTTCAACAAATTACTACGAATTTTCAAAGTGGAGCATTCAAATCTGCAAAAATCAGAGAAAGGAAATTTAAATCTTGCATCGAGGTCCCTGCGGTAAACACAAATTAAACTCCAGCGAAAAGGTCCTCATGAGCACTATGCACGTGAGTCACAACTTCGCACTTAGACCCTTCCCTTTCTCCTTATTGCTGCGCAAGCTCCTTCATCTTCCTTCCCTCGACGGCAGAGCAGGGGAGGCCGGCAGGGATGGCTCGGGTTGGCTGGCCTTGGCCAGCAGCGGCCGAGAGCATGGGGAATGTCCATCTTGCCCGAGGGTGGCACCAGCTAGGCAAGGGACGAGCCCAGGTGGCTCGGCCACGTGCGTGTGTGGCGCACGGTGGCGCAGCTCCGGCGGCGGCAGCGCTACGGCGGCTGCGGTGACCGGACAATGGGTGCAGGGGGAGCGGCGCACGACTGATAAGGTGGTGGCGCACACGATAGGACGCGAGGGAGCCCAGAGGTAGCGGCAGCTCGAGCTTCGCTCGACGTCAATGGCGGCCATGGCCATGGCGCCCACGGCAGCAGAGCGGAGGAGGGCGAAGGCGTGCGCGAGGGAGCGCCAGAGAGAGCTCGGGCGCTCAGCTTTCAATACTAGAGGGCGCAGGGACGCGACAGGGAGGCAGGGGCGTGGATGCACGCGGCAGCAAAGCTCGGCAATGGTGGCCACGTTCACGGACACGCGGCGTCCTTTGAGGCCTTTTACCGAGAACGTGGCGGACGACGGTATGGCCGACGTGGGAAGCCGATTTGGGCCGATTCCGGGCTGAATTTAGCAATGGGCCCAAAACGAAGTTTGCTCACCTCGGCCTGCTCTACGTTTCTCATTTAAGGTGCCTGATCATTTGAGCTCTGTAACAGCGGGTAATTAAGCCTCAATATGATAGTGTCAACATGTTGATAACGGTCACAGGAACTCGCCTTCAAAGGTCAAAACTCGGTCAAACTCAGTGTAACTTTTTGTATGCTCTTCTCCATAAACTTATCTCCAACTTTTATTTTGGGGTCAAGTCGAGTTGCTTAACGAATTTTGGAGAACGCAGAATGTCAATGTCGATGTCGGTGAATTTCGGACTTAGAATATTTCTAAGTGCTGAAATCAGCAGCAGATTCCAACTTTGAGCCACTGCTAGACTTAGTTCCGAGCCGATCCATGGTATACTCCCAAAACAAAGTTTCTTCTACATAACATGAGCTTCAACTTTTATTTAATGTCCAACCTTAAAACAGGTGCAGAAGCTATAGTTCTACTTTGACCAAAGTAAGATCACGATAAAGCTTAAATTATCTTTCGTGATCCATTGAAGCATTTTCTTGGCATTTGCTCAACATGAACCTTTCATAACTTTTGTTATAGAGTTCATCTAGAGTCATTTGGGTATGGTTGCAAGATTTGGTTGACGATCGAGAATTCCATTCACTTTATAAAATAATTCAAGCAAGGACATAACTCGTCATTTCATGGGACTTCTTGATTCCAAACTTCACGAAACTTTTCCATGGATTAATATAGATGGGTATTGATGTGAGACACGTGAAGATATTCCAATAACACCAGCCAAGCATATATCTTGAAAAGGGCCTATATGTAAAGCAAGGGTGCAATATCCAAGTTTAGGTTGGGGCTCATTTCCATAGGTTTGACCTTGACATCTTCATCATTACTTAATATGCCATGTTTGAGCTCAAACCCATTGCTTAACTGGTGGCAAACACCTAGGGTGTTACACATACCAAACAACATATTCATAATATGGAAAGCTAAATCAAAACAATTATGAGATCATTATATTAATCAAAGAGTTAAATACATCAATGGTCCATCAACTTGCACTCTAGTTTCACTTAGATCCATCAACTCTGAAAGTGGGTTTTTGGGTCTATAATCTTTGTTAGTGGTGCATTCCTTGCCCATACCTCTTTGTTTCAGTTTTTTAACCGACGTGGCTGTCCATCGTAGCGTCCAGGTTGGATCAACAAGCGCCACGTCCAAGCCTCGGTGCTGCCTCCGACCCGCGCGCTCCATGCGCCATGGCTGGACCCCACGACCAAGTCCCGCTTCTCCTCCTCGCGCGACCCTGCACGCGCACGCGCCCGCTCACACGGCTGCTCAGTGCTCACCCACACGCGCCTGCTCGCCGCCCCTGCTCCGGGTTCGTACGCGGCGGCCTTGCGGAACAGTGGGTTCTCGGCGCCGTGGCACCAGCACCTGCACCGGCGAGCGCAAGGGCGACGTACGCGAGCACGCCGCCGGCGCTCGCGGCGTGCAGTGGCATGCTGGTTGTTCTCTCTGTGTGACGATGCTTGCGACCCCTGTTCGCACGCGCGTCCACATGCTGGCTGCTCCTACTCGCTCGCGTGGCCGCGGCGGCTCGCATGCACGCCCGTAGCGGCAGCGGCGACGCTTGCTCGCGTGTCCTCGCTCGCCTACTCGCGCGCGTTCACGGAGATGGCTCTCCCTTGGGGTGTGCTCGACGGAATCCGCCCGATGTAGCTCGCTCTCGGGGTGCTTAGTGTCTAGTGGAAGACAAGCGCCTCCGTAAGTGCGTTATTTCAGGCGGTTCTGCCACAGCATGCCCCTAACAAAAAGAGTCTACTCAGGTGGTAGCCATCTTCAAACAATTCATTTTAAAAGGTGTCAATGGCAGCACCATGGTAAGTTAAATGACAACATGATAAAATTGCAAGTCAAAGCAAATCAGGGAGCAGAATATTGGCAGTCTAGAATATTCATAAACAGTTCTATACTCCTAAAACTTCATAACTAGAAGCTGTATAAAGATGAAGCCAAACCCATACAACTTCATATGAACTCAGCAAGAAAAATGTACTAAATCAGCATACTAAAAAAAACTGAATCAACAAACTTGACATTTGCAGTACCTGAAACTGCCTTAATCCATTTGCTTAAACTGATAAGTAAAGGATTGCAGATCCTAGAGACATATATATGCCACATTAACAAGATATACTCAAATTACATCACCAAGTACAAAAATTTACAGTGCATACTAGGATATAAACTTAATGCTAGTAATATATAAGTGTTGGCCTAAGCAAAAGGTATTCTTTTGCATAGATAGGAACTTACCCTTTAATCATTTGTATATTGGGCTTGGGTGTCCCAGTTGCATTCAGATCATATCCCTACCAGTAAAGTCTACTGAGGAGTTAGAGCCCCCTACAAACAATGCATGCAAATAAAGTGTCAATGGAAACGAACATCTGGATGAAAAAGGTGCACCAGTAAAAAAATTGAGGATAAATTGTTCACAGACTAACAGAAGAGTGAAAAAGAATAAAAGAATATTAAAAGGTGCAGCAGCACAACCGATAGGCTCAAAAGAAAAAAAAACAATTAGCTTTAGGAAGCCCAAAAATAGAATAAAGTCCAGAAAAAAAGTATTGTTATAGCACCTAAAACAATAACAGTTAATAACATAAGCGAAGGGATCACACTGCCCTCTACTCAAGTAATCATAATTGACAGCTCAGCACTTATCATTATAATACCCAGTAACAGTAATACAAACATAGGCATGCATACGAGTGCACACACCATTGACAGGCACAGTCAATAATACCAAATGTATGGACTAGATATACAGTGCCTTCCATGATGTACAAAAATAAAAGAGAAAATTATAGTACAGATATTTCATATTTGACATTAGGCATGTGAACTAGTGTATGATATATTGATATAAGGTTATACTGGCAGTTCTTCCATGTTAAGTCCATACACAGGGCATTTGCTGAAATCTGTCAAAAGGATGGCAGGTGCAGAAACAAAAGAAAATGGTCACATTTCTCACTCAACAATAAGCCTAAATTCAAAAAAAAGAAAAGGTTCACACACAGATTAAAGAACCTACAATTCTACTACTGGTCAGAAAGGCATGCCACATAAAGTCAAACAAGGCTATTGCCCAACAATGTAGGAAAAAAAACATGTTGAGTCAAAGCTATCAATTCAGTATTACCAACTTAAGCCTGCATGTTGTGGTTGTGTGCACCAACATTCAGAAGGACAAAAATAAGGAACAAATATAGTACACTTACATCACAGTAATAATCAGTTTCAGGGCTAGAGATGGAGCGATAGAGATCAGAATCAACACTAAGAAACTGTGAGCACTGAACATCTTCAACATCCTGGCCTTCTAAATCATCAAAGCTCGATATCTCACAAAACCAGGACACCTCTTTCTAGCCATCTATCACAAATATCAAATTAAAGCATGATTACACGAGAAAGCCAATGGAAAAAACACTAGTAGTACAAGCATTAGCACAGGTATAGTGAACTACTAATTTCGAGTACTGAATAAAAGATAAATACCACATATGCCTTTTAATTATTGGACAAACAGAATAACCATTTCACAGGCAAAGTATTGATTCAAAGCAAATATACAGTGCTAGAACTAATATCAACAAATATTCTAAACTAATCTGAACAAATATTCAGTGCAACAGCCCCAATATAACAGCAGCAATAATCAACAGTGCCTGATGTAAAAAGGTGACCTTCAGTAAGCAACCACATATCTAGCAAGACTAAAGCTGTACCACTTCCACGGATTGCATCATTGCGTAGATGCCAACATCTCCAGAAACAAAATAGCAGCTGAGCTCGCTCTTCTGAATCCCATCGGGTCCATCATCATTATGAATGGTCCCGGCCCTGATATGACAAGTTCATTTTCAGGTAGCAGATCCCACTCCTTTCTCAAATCCTCTCTCAGAGCCTTAGCTTTTGTGCAAGAGACCACAGCATCAAAGCACTCTCCTTCATCTCTCCCACATATCTGACACATGATATCGATCCCAACGCCAGATTCAGTGCTGCGACTTGGCTAGTTGCTTGCACCCCGGCCCGACTGCACCGGCCCTTTCTTCTCGGACGAACACGGAGTACGATGGCAGCAGGGAGCGGCAGCCACCAGCTTAGGGCCCGCGGCTTGGGCTGCCCACCCGGCACGGCGCGCTGCAGGCGGCCAAGGAGATAGCACATGGCTGGACCAGCACGACAAGTACAGCAACCAAATCAGCAAATCCAAAACAAATCGGACCTCCACATCAATGCCAAATCCCTACTCGAACCCTAGGGCAGACAAGGAAATCTGATTCCATCCATCCCCAAACACAGTAGAGAACAGATCCTTGAAATAAACTCGAACCCTAACCTCTAGAACGAGGCAGAACACATGAGCGTACTCTAACAACGAAGATTTCAATGAATCGAAGGAAGAAAAGGAACGAACCTTGCACCTGACGGAATCGCCTGTCGCCAGTGCAGAGCGCCAGAGCGTCGCGGGAAAGGAGACGACCGCGAAATGAAACAGCCACACAAACAGGCGCGACTCCCAATTTTGAAGAGTAGCGCTCAGAGTGGGCCTGCACATCAGAGGCACAAAGCAACTGAATCACACCGAAACATATCAAACGCTGCATTGTTGATCCAGCGGCCACAAAAAAAATCGGGTGCTGCCGGCTGCCAAAACAACCGGTATCGCGGGAGGAAGAGACGGCACGAGACGGAGCGCCGAGATCAAAGGAACAAAACATCCGACAGCCAAAAAAACAGTGTGACGGGGGCAAAAATTTCACACGGACAAAATATAGCTTTTCTGTTTATTAATAGGGTTTGTCTGGCGACCTTGCAAATTCATACTCGCTCCAGTCAAAAAAGAATGCAATTCTTGCTTCCTAATAAGTCAAACAATATTAATTTTATGAAATTTTATAAAAAAATGCTAATACTCCTATTTATTATACTTAATAAATACTATTTCATTAATTAAAAAATATATTTTGTCAGTAAACCTATTTTGTAACATAAATGCTGATATTATTTTCTATAAACTTGCCAGATGTAAAAAAAAATTGACTTGTCTAAATCTAGAATTGTATTTTTTTTAGATAAAGGTCCAACATAGTGCACAATGTCATGCAATAATACTACTCCGTAGCACATACTAATTATTAAAAAAATAGAGCACTTTGAAGCGAGCGGGAAATGATGCGGTGTTTTGAGTATATTATTGGGCACCCATGACCCACGTTGAGCACTTGGCACATGAGTAACTTTTTCAGTGATGACACTCATGCATGCAGTCTTGGTTCCAATCCGATTCATTTTAGTTTTTATACACACCATCCAGCTGCTTTAGCTTGGCCTATCACTATCAGTAAAATCAGTTCATCAGCGCCACTCCATTCCTTCTTCTTTTTTTCGATTGCCACTCCATTCCTTCATGCATGTGCACATGAGTTGTTTATGCCTGAAAGATTGTTAAACCTAGATTCGGTGTGTCTCTTTGCTTTTGTGCGCTAACCTAGCTAGACTGTCTAAATGTCCCTAGCCTCATATCTTTCTACTCCGGGCAAATCACAATTCACAGGCAAATACCATGTTCGCTTGGCTGATAAGTCGTGGCTGAAAATACTGTTGGCTGATTTGTTGTGAGAGAAAAATACTGTTCGTTGACTGAAAAGGTATGGCTTATAAGCTAAGTCAACATGGCGAAAGTAGCAGTAGCCATTAGTATAAGCAATCCCATATAAAGAAATACAATTGCTAGCAAGCAAGATTTGGGAAGATCTAGCATGTCAGTGTTCTATGCCTCAATAGTCCACTAGCTCAAAGTTCGAGGCACAGGCAAGTATCTCATGTGGGTGGGGCCATGCGCAATTGCTGAAATTTGATATTTGTCTCCGACCAACGGGACATTGTGATGAGGGGATAAGTGCTGTAGCTCGATGGCAAATAAACAATCAAAGGGTGAGCAGAATATATAGCGGTACGGTATGCATGCACATATAGGAGGATAATCACTCATGTGCTTGTGCTTTTCCCGGCACAGGAGCAGCAATGAGAATTATTGCTGAGAGGCATAATTTTGGAGTGTAAACTGGTGGTGTGGCTGGTTTATCACTTTTTAGGGTGTTAGTATAATTATGTCTGTGCGTGCGTATCTTTAGTGTTATATCAATTGAAGTCTCCGCCTTAATATTTACACAAGATAAACTAAAAAAAGATAAATTATAAAATTTCTTATAAAAATCAGTGACATCTCGTCATCTACTTGAAGGATGCTGATCATCGTAGACAATAATAGCCATTGGATATGTTCTATTTTTATAAAATTATCTATATTTACCATTATAAGGTAGTAAAGTAATCCCCTAAATCTTAATCTAAATTCATCATCACTGTCATTATGTAAACAACTTAAATTACCTCTTCATTACTCATATATGCCATTAGAAAAAATAAAATAGCCTCTAAATTTGCATGAATTTCCAACATCTACTATTGATAAAAATAACCTAAAGTGACCCCTAAATGTAAGACCCAAATGGATATACTATTGGGGGGGGAATATGAACAAGGATAAAAAAAAGTAGATAAGTAGATAAAGTAATTGTAACTCAATTCTATCTCAGAAAAAGATAAAGTACTAGGAATAAAGTATTTAAGAGTTGTGTTATTAGAATATGACCAAACGATGCAAAGCAAATACAATATTTTTTTATTAGAAGTATGTTCTAAGTTTATGCATAAATTTTCTGAGACTTTTGCCTCTTAAAATTACTAGACCGTTGCGGTAACACAAGTCGATGGATTTGGCAAACTAATGCATCATGTCAGTTTTAGGTCATTCTCGTGGGCTTCAGTGCTCCAATTCCCAGGAATTCGATTAATATAAGCTCACTCAGGAATATCCCATGTGAGGAAAGTGATTGGCAAACTCGAGCAGTTTCCCTTTTTTTTTTGGAACTGCAAACTCGAGCAGTTTCGGCACATGGGGACCGGTAGATGTTTTGTTCCTTAGCTGTATCTAATGCGAAGCAGGTGTTGTAAAAAAAAATGCGAAGCAAAAGTTAACATGAAAGCAAAGCTGCTCCGGGCCTCCAGTTGATACTCTTCTTTTTAAGGAAAGAACAAAGCGACCACTCCGTACCAGCTGCCAACCAATCGCCGTCGGACCGCGACTCGCAGCATAACAACGTTGCCGGCGTTGATCGAAAGCCATTGCGAGCGCGCTTGAAATCAGATGGGTACGAGTACGATGCATCAAGTGGTGGAGATGGGAGAAGCGCAGAGATGCGCCAGCACGATGGTCAACGGGCCCTGGGGGCCTTTGGGCCAACTAGACCGGGCTGAAACGCACAACATCCATGTGACCGCGGGTGTATAAAGACCTGCCTGCATCAGTGAGTATTTCCCCATGGTAGGAGGGAAATGATAGTGTTTATAAAACCTGAATCCTTTGTAAATACAGAAGGCAATGGTTCTCTCATTCACGTGTTAAAAAACAGCAGATAGATACAGACAGCTACAGCATTACTACATCATATTTATTCACGACTCTACAGATACAAAAGAAATAACGAAACTACACGTGATCTGATATCTTGGCGCTACAGAAGGGAAAACTCTAACAAAAGATCTCAAGAACAAACAAACTTCGGCTAATCAGATCCAATCCTTCGGATTTATGCATGCGTCCAGAAGTTTCCATTCCTCAGTCCCTTCTTCCGGTTTCTGCAAATGAAGTTGCATGCTTAGTGTTGAGGAACAATTGCCCAAGTTATTATAAGTAAGATGTAGAGTAAATGATAATTACTAAGGCTTTTTTTTTATGCATGTGTATCCACCTCAATCCACATGTGTTGGACTGGAATGGAATGGAATTTAGTTTAATTCCACTCCACTCCACCTCAACATATGTGGATTGAGATGAATACATGCGCATCCAAACAAGGCCTAAGAATATAGCAATATCAACGGTACATTTTCTTCATTTATTTTGCTTTTTTCCAAGATCTCTTGAGCATTCTCTGGTGGAAAAACTAAGACATGTCGATATGTATAGAGTCCACTGAGTGAAATAGCTTACATGATCATACTCCCACCGTGCTGTAAGTGGAAGGGACACGAGTATGCTCTCAATCCTTCCTCCAGTCTTTAGGCCGAATGTCGTACCACGGTCATAGACCTTCAAAAGACGAGTATGTTAAAGCCAGAAGATAGGCATCCAACTATCCAAGCAAGACACTGGATGTATTCGCCTAAAACCACTTACAAGATTGAACTCCACATAACGACCTCTTCGCAATTGCTGCCATGCCTTGTGATCCTCATTGAATGGAGTGTCCTTCCGCCGTTCTATGATTGGTATGTACGCAGGAAGTACAGAGTCCGCACATTCTGTAGAGAAAGAAAATCACTTTGGTTATCATAACTGTAACTACAACTCACCTCTAACTGCGCATATTGCACAGCAATCTAATAAGCTGAATATAGCTCGTAAAAAAGGAAACAGAAGTCAAAGCTAATATCTGGCTAGAACTTGAACCCAACCTACACACTTAAATAGAAATGGAAATTCCATCCCATAAATGAACACATTTAGAGACCACTGTACCAAGCTACCTGAATACAGATAATTTCATCCAATCATTCTAGCAAATGGTTTCACCTGTAGCAAAGTTGAGAAGCATCTCTTGATCATAATCATTAAGGTCATCAAAAAATATTCCACCAAGCCCACGCCGCTCATTACGGTGCTGCATTGAGAGACAAAACATGAGAATTCAACACAGGATCCCAGAAACTCTATGTTGAAACATCAAGTGGTTCATCCATAGTTTAAGAAAAGGCAACTAGTATCTTCTCCAGGATTGCTAAAATAGCATGTCCATAAACCCAAAAAAAATGTCAGGAATTTCTTTCTTTCAATGAGGAAAACTGGAGGTATCTGGATCAAGTCAGCAAATGCAAAATCCTGTCATTGTAAAAAGGGAACCATGTGGCCTAAACTGTAGAATTGACTCCTTTCGTAGTTTCTAAAGTAACAAATGAAAGAATTTAAAGTACCTTAATATAAAAATAATCATCACACCATTTTTTGAATCTTGGGTGAAAACTTGGATCAAATTTATCACATGCTAGCTTTTGAACCTGAAATCAGACAAAAAATATGTTAGTGAATAGTGACAACAAATACAAAGCAGAAACTGAAGTGCTAACTAGCAATAGTTATTAACTACTCCCCCCATTCCAAATTATAAGTCGCTTTGACTTTTTTGGTTCATCCATTTTGCTATGTATCTAGACATATTATTTATCTAGATGCATAGCAAAATGGATGTACCAAAAAAGTCAAAGCGACTTATAATTTGGAACGGAGGGAGTAACTTATTACTATTTTCTCTGTTCTGATTCCTCTCTCAAGATTAGCACAAGGACTTTGCCCGTAAGAAACCCTAAACAACAGAAGGTGTGTAACTGCATGGAATTCTGTTTTGCATGTACTAGTACTGAGGTGAAGTGCCCACGTATTGGACTGGAAGACACCCTTTTTGAGAGCAGAGCAACTGTAAACTATATCGAGAACCTAATTGATTCTTTAACTACATTTAACACAGCACTTGACATCGAAGACCCTTGACTAGTTCACATCTAGAAATGGAAGAGCATAAAAATAGTACCAACTCCATAGGCTAGCCAAGCATAATACTGTCTAGGAAACAATTAAGCATTGTCCAAGACATCGAAGTAGAACACAAAACAGTATTGGGTGCATAGTTTTGCAACATGTAGGGAGTGGTACATACAGAATGGAAATGATTCACATCCTCTTCGATGATGTATGAAGGAGTCAAGTCAGTACCACCGCCAAACCACCATTGTCTTGGTGCACCAGGTGCATCTGCAGTTGGATGTCATAACAGATGAGTATTGAAAATACCATTTCCCAACAAGACATTTACAATATGCAAAATGATTGTAATAGACATGATCAACTTGGGTACCTTGTTAAAGTAAACAGGATGGGCCCATTTCTCTTACTAATATCTAGAGGAGTTTATCTATTTTAAGCCTATACTCACTAAATGCAAAGCATAAAACATCTAGTTTATACATGGGTCTTTGTATATGAGGGTGGCACACATATTGAAGCACAAAATCCACTTGGTGTGCAGGATATTAATTACATCATAATACTTCACGATTTACTAGGATAGAAGATACCTTTTGGTGCATCCGTCTCAAAGTAACGGTAGTTAAAATGCAATGTTGGAGCAAATGGATTCTTGGGGTGAAGCACCTGGAAAAGGAAAAAGAAAAACTATCTTTAGTCCATGTATCATCATAGGTTAACACTAGAAGTTTAAAGTATTGCCTAAGTTGAGTGAAAAAAATCATAAACATGAATAGTAGCAGATGAGCATTATCAGTATCACAAAAAAGGCATGTACATAGGGTCAAGTTGTAGCAGTAAAAAGATGCACCATATATAGCTACAATAGGGTCATTATCCGACTATAGCATGCAACTAGCAATATTTAGAACTAATGGGAATCTACACACTATGAATGGGCTCGAAAAGCCAAAACAGCAAAAAATTGCTAAGGTGCCAACAGGTCCACAAGCATCCTGATTCCTTGCGTCAATTATACAAATGCATGAGTACTACATATACTGGATAACTGGGAGCAAGGGGCAGCTAAACACTAAATTCCCTAAGTTATGGCATTGCAATGTCTGCATGCAACTGAAGAATCTACATAACGATAGCCAAAATGGAGAAGAGATCTAGGTCCGTCAGGTCAATGCAGCAGGAAAGCCACTTACCGAACTAATCCCCGCGGCGAAGAATGGCACGGGGCCAGGCTTCTGGGCATCCGCGGCGGCGGCCCCGTTCTTGCCGGCCTCCCCCCTGGCGGCGCGGTAGGCGTCGGGCGGCATGACGCCGTAGACGACGGAGACGTTGACCCCGGCCTTCTCGAAGACGCGACCGTCCTGCAGGACGCGGCTGATGCCCCCGCCGCCGCCGGGGCGCGACCAGACGTCCTCGACGAAGCGCGCGCCGCCGCCGTCGGCCTCCTCGAGCGCGGCGCAGACCTCCCCCTGCACCCGGCGGATCATGGCCTCGAACCGCGCCCGCACGGACCCGGACCCGGCGCCTTGCCCGTCCTCGCGGAGGAACGTCGTCGGCGGCTCGCTCTCCGGCGTCTCCTTCTCGATCGCCACCGACGCGCGCACGCGGAGCGCGCGGCTGCGGCGGGGGGCGACGCCGAGGCCGAGGCCGCCGCGCGGGAGCTGCGCCTGGGCCGGCGCCCGCCCCCGGAGGCCGGCGGGGGCCGGGGCTAGGGTTCGGGACGGGGTGGAGAGGAGGGAGGACGCCATTGCGTGCGGGTGGGTGGCTTGGTTCGGCGAGTGGTGGTTTATGTAGGCGGCGGTGGCCGCCGGTGGGCGGCGCGGGCGGGATGCGGCCCGCGGTTTTGCAGCTGGGAGGGAGGGTCAAAAGGGGAGGGAGGTAGAGGTGGGAGCAGGGAGCGAGAGTTGCTGCCCTCCTCTGCTCCGCTGGCTTCCAAAGGGGATAAGGAAACGGATCAGGTTTCGGGGCTCTCGCTAAACGGATGCGATGCGAACTGAATGGCTTTTTAAGAACAACGTGACGGTAACACTTTAAAAAAAACACATGATACAGATGTTGGGCTCCCGACTCCAGTTGTACCATACACATGCACAGCATGTTGAAAGAAGAAAAAAAAGGTGATTTACTGATATCTTAGAGCGGTATCAAAGTCAAACCGTGGAAGATACAAATCTGTGAGCTCTAGATTTCGGTGTGCGTGAGCGATGGAACATAGCTTCAGCCTTCATTTTTTATTTAGGAACGGATTATACTCCATGAACCTGTCAGCCTGCTATTCAGCCACCCGTAGAAATTAGAAAACATAATAGGGTGCGTTCTGAAAGAAAGGGAAAGGGAAAGGGAAAGGGAAAGGGGGAAAGCCGAAAAGTCAATTGGTGTGCACTTTTTCAACTTGTTGATAGACATTGAGAATGCTGGCATATCCATCTCGTAGTCTCCAAGTGCAAAGGAAAAGGGAAATGGCTACCATTGACAATGCTCGCACATCTACGTTGACGCCGGATCGCTCAAGATGTGTTTTTAAAAAAAGAAAAAGGAAAAATGATAAGAGCTATATTTGGCTCCATTCGGCTTGCTGAAACTTGGCTGAAAGTGGCTGAAAAATATTGTTCTGGCTAAAATGTTGTGAAAGAAAAACACTGTTCCGGCTGAAAAAAGAAGCCGAACAAGCCGGATTTAAGATAAGCCGATCGAGACCTTAGATATGTCTGGATTATTATATTCTAAATAATAAATAGGATTATAATAATATAGATTGTAAACTACTAATGTAGATTGTTTGAAGCCCTGGATTACAGGTGTCGTAGTATAAGCCCCGTTCGCTTCGCTGAAAAAGCAAGTCGAAACATTGTTCCGGCTAATATATTGTGAGAGAAAAATATTATTTTGCTGAAAAAATAAGCTGAAAAAAACGAATTATAAGAAAAATGAACAGGGCCTATTGTCTTCAATGATCTGGCCATACGAACACTAAGGTTGATGACCCCACAGTAGTAGGTGTCATAACCAATGAATCGATCGTTCAACCCAGGTCCAAAGGCAGCTGGCCTGAGGTTGCCCGGGCTGGAGCAGGGGGGCGAGGTGGGCTGAAGCGACCTTGTAGCCTTGTAGGTGGTTGGCCTGGTTGGCTGATGATGAGGAGAGGTGGTGGAGGGAGGTCAAAGAAAGGGATATAGCGGCCCAGATTATCAAAACACGCGCGGCGCTACCAAACGTGAATTGGTGCCAGAGCAAGGAGCGTGCTACCTCCGGTGGGTGTTACCGTTACCTCTATGGTTGGCAATAGGATCACTAGCGAGAAAGTTAAATGCTCCGTTCGCTTGACTGATAAGTCATGGCTGAAAATAATGTTGACTGATTTACTGTGAGAAAAAAATATTGTTCGTTGACGGAAAAAATACGGCTTATAAACCAAGCGAACAGGACGAAAAGAGGGTAGCGGTGGCAAGGGTAAAGGGTTGATGACGCCAACTGGATGATGCTGCCGTCCCCTCCCAGGCTAGCCACCCAGATCTTGGTGCTCTTGTATATATATTAGATACATGCCCGTGCGTTACACTGGGACCATGATTATTTATACTAAACTTTGCGCGGACGCGTGAGTTCAGTGGACACATGGATTCATATACATATGATCATATACCATTGAGAGAATTCTTTATTTGGCACTGAAACAAATCGCTCTTCCGTATTTGGCACTGGAAATTTTGAACTTCCTTATCTAACATCAACTTAAAAATTCCTTCCGTATATGGCACTTCTGTCCATTTCAGGCAGTAACGGTGTCAAGTGCCACCTAAAATGACATATATGTCCTTATATGTAACAGGAACATGTAGTGCCAGATAGAAAAAGAATAAATAGACATAATGTCAAATAAGGAAAGCACAAATATGACAAATATACTTGATGCACAAGCTTTACAAATCTGACCACATTGTCAGCATATCTACATAGAGAATCACATTACAGTTCACATGTCCAGGTTATGCATACATTACCATGTTCATAAACATAAACACATGAAGGTTCATACATAGAGGGTCTAAGTTCACATTACAGTTCATAGAGCATATGCCTTACATATTGCCAAGCACATTTACATAGAGAATCACAAGCTCAACCTTCTCTTGCTTCTTGTGCTATTTGCAGGACTAACAAGGTTAGATGTTTTGTTTCTGGTGGCCATTGCAGGGCTGTCAATTTTTTTCAGGTTTGAAACAAGCTGTTTCTTGGTCCTTTTAGCCTTCTTCTTTGATGGAGATTGAAACTCGGTGGAAATTGGCTCGGGTTGATTGGAGCCGCTTCTTGACCTGCACATGTACATTCAAACTAGGATGACATCCTTGCTCTTCGTTGACTACAGAATAATATTCAGAAATACGAGACAAGATTGGCAAATTCATACTACAGAGCAAAAACATCAACTGGCACAGAGGTGACAGTCAGTTACTTAGTTAACAGCTGATTCCAGCATGTGTAGCACCAACCCAACTTGGCAGCATAGAGACTACAACAGAGAATTGTAACTGGCATTTGCTACAGCCTCTGATGGCATATATACTAGTAAAACTTCGGCTATACTGTTCTCAAGTTGATTTTACATATATACAAGCAAGTCTTGTCTCATTTTGCTTGCTAATCTTCCATTATGCAACACATTCAGAAGCAGCTCTCCAGTGTACATCTGGTGGTAACTCACTATCAAAAAAAGTTGATATATATGTACAGGTTGTCTGTACAGAGCAAAGACAACGGAGTTGATCATCTCCAGTGTACATATATACAGGATGCCAGCACATGTACATATATACAAGCAAATTCATACTATGTTAAGTACACTCTCCAGTGTGAAGATAGTGAGTTACCTTTTTGATGCTCTAGAGGTGGAGTTACCATGTTTCTCATTTTGCTTGCTTGTAGTCTCCATGCTTTGGCTCTGGTGAGAGAAGATTGGTAATTAGGCTCTCTAATTAGATTGGAAACCATGTTTCATTAAATAAAATAGAAAAGAGATCTTAATACCAGTTTGAACTCTTTGAAAGTCCAGATGTAGAGTCAGGCTTTTTTCTGTTCTTCTTACTTATTATCTTCTTAATTGGAGACTTCTTAGTTGTAGTTCCCAAGCTTTGACTATGTTATCAAACAATATAATTACAAATCAGCACAGGTAAGCAGATTTTATACTACAGCAGAGAATTTTGTACTTAGAAATTTACCTAGGTGGAAAAGACATAGATAGCGCTAGTACTTCATCCTCTAAAGGCATAATATAACTTTGAGCAGATTTTGTAGTCTTTGCCTTCTTCTTTCGTGGTCCTCTACATTGAGTAATAAGAGATTAGTAAGTGGGTTGTAGCAAATTATTTGATGCAGCAAAATATGAACACATTTCTTACCTCACAGCCTTCATAGCTTCAATGCCAGCTGGGTTGCCTTTCTTGCAATTATGCCAATGATGCCCATAGTCGAGGCAAATAGGACACTGGTGCTGGCCCTTTCTTTTTTTCTTCTCAGTGCCACCTTTATGCCTCTTAGTTTTGGGCCTACCAGCTACGGGTGTCAATAGTGGGGGATGCATAAAAAACCTATGGGAAGATTTAGGCCATTGTGTCTTATCAATCATAGCAGGTATTAGTTGGGCATAGGCTGCTCTAAATTTTTCAATGGAGTAGTAAGAGTCCACATGACGTTGTAGAAGCATGTATCCTCCATGGACAATTATCGGCTTCTTTCCTTGAACAATAAGCCCTCAGCCGTTTTGGTCCACTTCTCTCTGTATTATACTCAAACTCATTTTTGATTGCATGCTGCGAAAGAGCCAACTTAAACTTTGCTATATTAGGATACATACTGCGTACTATCATCGGAGGGTCTTCTTTGTCATATTCCACATGCGGGCCATGATTTGGATCTTTTTGCATCTCATCTTCTGTCATCTCATTCTCTATCACCTCTTGTTCACTACCAGATTGTGCCTCATCTTCAGTTAATGGAACAGAGGTCTTCTCCTTCCCTTTATCAGAAGGGACAGCTACCACACGGTCTTCCTTTAAGTACATATCCTCCTCATCCACACCAACGTGCTCATTGTTTGGTAATGGATTCATGAGATAGGTATCCAACTCTTGTTCTATGTCGTCCTTATATTGTGCTTCTCCTTCAAATTGCCATTCAGTGATAAGCTTGTAAGGTTCAGATGGATCACAATAAGCAATGAATATCTCGATGACCTTTTCCTTATGTTTACTGAACATTACCATCAGTTCTTGGTCTGACGTTACTTCTGGAAAAGTTTTTAACTCAGCATCATAATATTGCACATGTGGAACTTCCAAGTACCCCGGAGGATACTGTTGAACAATGGACTCAACAAGGTCCATGTAATTTGTGAAATCAGCATCCACAACCTTCTCCAAGGAAAAACATCTCACATCCTTTCTACTTTTCTTTGGATTGCTAAGAAGGTGAATTTTGAGCAAGTAACTTGTATCTGTATCCATTCTGTGTGTCCAAACAACAAAATTCATATGGCTCTAGAGGAAGTAAGCTAACTAGTACCCACAAATTCAGTGTACAAGCTAACAAAGGTTGTCACTGTTACTTTCCCACCTTTCAACCATCAACCATCTAGCATAATGCATAAATAAATAATAAAAGCACCTATAATCTTATGAATTACTGATAGACATGCATTCAAGAAAGGACCCCACAACAGCATGTCTTTCTTCAGGTTTTAGGGGATAAA